GGGGGGTTGTTCTCCTTGTCAATCTCAGCAGAGAGGCCAAGAAAGGTAGGTGTGGTGGCTGGTTGTGGGTTTAGTGCATTAGGGACTGGCCCACTCCGTAGCACTGGCCTTTGCTTTAATGGGTTCTGCTGTACGGGAATCCCTCCCTCTCTGTTGCTCCTCTTTAAAAGGCATTTTATAACTGTGCCCACCTCACCTTTTTAAAATCCAGATTGCTGATGGCACATGACGGGAGGGGCTAAATGCAGCTTTGCAATAATCTGATGAGCCGTGTGTGCATTTCCCAGGTTTAAGCCATACCTGTGCATTTGAACATATGATGATGCATTTTGTAAACTGTAATTGCTATTTTAAATAAACTTTAGCTCACACAGTCTGGTGAGGTTGCACTCCAATTCAGCAGCTGTTTCACATACAAGCCTCAGATTGGGAGGAAAACATGGCGATACGTTATGGGCCCCCAAGCTTATGCTCCACAGGCAATCCCTGCCTAGCTGCATGTTTCTGCTAAATAAAACTGCCAGCACTGAGAGTCAATATTATTATTGCTATTTTAGCATCAATCATTAGGTTTCAGAGCCAACACTCAGTTGAGCTGAATGGAGTATAGCGCTGCGCTATAGTTTCAGGCCTGGCTAACTGCGCAGGGGAAATTTTTCTTTGCCTCCCTAACCGCTAGAAAATTTTTAAAAAACCCAAAATTATCAGTATCTATAGAACCAGGTGGGGCCAAAGGCCCTGCACTATGGCATACAAGTAAATACCAGCTTAGTTTTCAGGAGGGCAGCAAATTGGTAATGGTGATGGTTGTTAATGATGCCCAGAAGCCAAGGAGGTAAGTGCTGGATTTATTTTTATAGCAATCAGCATTCACCACATCAATTACACAGCTCTTTTATTTTGGCAGAGTAAGGCCCAAGGAGACTGTTAACCTCATCGATGGTAGTTTGACCTCCTGCTCCGCACAGGCCATAGAGGGTCACGCTGTAGTACTTCCTGGGTCAAGCCCACAACCTAGGGCTGAGCTAGCGCATAGCATTTAGAAAGCCATCCAAGCATGACTGAAGCACCAGATGGTAGCACATCCGCCACAGCCCTTTGTAATCTGTTCCAATGGTTAATCAGCCTCTGGGATGCTGGAAGCCCATGTGCCAGCCCATGCCAAGACCCCTCGGCCTCACTGACCAATGCATAGCTGGAAACCAGTCTGGCTTAAAATAGATGTTAACACACCGGTAACACCGCTATGTTGCTAAGAATGTGATTAGTATTTAGACTTGATGACATGACTGTAGGATGCTGCACGCCTTGGTCTCACTTATAACATCGCAGTCCATGGTATAAAGTGATGCAGAGTGTTTGCATTGTAAACCTCTGTAACTGTGTAACTCAGGGGTGGCAAACTACGGCCCGTGGGCCGCATCCGGCCTGTCAGGGCTTTGGATCCGGCCTGCAGGATTGCCAGCCCCACGCTGCTCCCAGAAGCGGCTGTCACCACATCCCTGTGGCTCCTGGGGGATGGGGAGGCAGAGGGCTCTGCGTGCAGCCCTCGCCTGCAGGCACCGCCCCCCCCAGCTCCCATTGGCCGGGAATGGAGAACCGCAGCCAATGGGAACTTCGGAAGAGATACATGCAGGTGAGGGCAGTGCGCAGAGCCCTCTGCCCCCACCCTTCCCTCAGGGGCTGCGGGGACATGGTGCTGGCCGCTTCCAGGAGCGGCACAAGGCTAAGGCAGGCAGGGAGCCTGCCATAGCTCCACTGCACGCCGCTGCCACCCTGGAGCCGCTCAAGGTAAGCAGCGCTGGCCCTGAGTCCCCCTCCCACACCCCGAACCCGCTGCCCTGAGCCCCCTCCCACACCTCACACTCCCTCCCACACCCCAACCCTCTGCCCCAGCCCTACATTCATGGCCCTGCATACAATTTCCCCACCCAGAGGTCACCCTTGGGCCAAAAAGTTTGCTCATCTCGGTGTAACTCACCAAACAGGAAATAAGCATTAATCAGTGTAAAGTGCTGGTCCTGCACACAATACGGCCCATTGCAACCAAACGAGCCATTGTGAAACATGAGAGGACAAAGACTTTGTTGCACCGACATATGTTCCATCAGTTTGAACTCCAGGGGAAGGGAATTAAAAATGCCTCAGAGTAAGGAACTGGGTCCCCCCATGCTGAGGGGCACGCGGGGGGCGGGGGGGGGGAGCGCAAGATTTCTAAGCATTTTACAACAGCATCTATTACCTTCTGAAACCTAAGAAAGACTAACTTATTTATGTGTATATATCTTTAACTGTGCACATAATTAATTATTAATTCAGGAAAAGAAACGAGCATTAATTATTATAGGATGTTGTGAAGGACAAAACTATAACAGGGTTAAAAAAAGAACTAGATAAGTTCAAGGCAGATAGGTCCGTGAGTGGCTATTAGCCAGGATGGGCAGGGATGCAACCCCCCATGCCCTGGATGTCCTTAGCCTCTGATTGCCAGATGCTGGGAGTGGATGAATCACTCGGTAATTGCTGTTCTGTTCATTCCCTCTGAAGCACCTGGCATTGGCTACTGCTGGAAGACAGGATACTGGTCTAGATGGACCATTGGTCTGATGCACTATGGCTGTTCTTAAGTTGTTTTTGGTGAGAGCTCTGGGGTGCCACTAACCTGAGATAAGTGACTGGTCCTAATGGGACTGGGAGTACCCTGAATAGTGTTGTGTATGGGACCATGTATCGCAAAGGCAAGCTTGCCTTGTGGGGGGGCGAGATAATCCAGCGTGCTCAAGGGGCCTGTTCCTGACTCCATATTAAGGCTGTTGAGGAGTTCACACTTGTTACTTGGTTGGTGAACTCTAAGCATAGAACTCATAACCAAGTGGGGGCTAGCAGCTTGACAGTCTGCCCTAAGGTGGCACCCATGTTCATGAGTCTCTCCAGATAGCTTGACAACCTCAGTGTTAAAAATGTGCACTTTATGTCTAGGCTGAATGTGTCCAGTGCTAGCTTCCAGCCACTGGCGCTTGTTTCGGCTTTGTCCGGTAGACTGACGAGCTCTCTATTCTCAGATGTCTCCATGTATGTACTTACAGACCATGAACAAATCACCTGGTTGCCATCTCTTCAACGAACTGAACTTCAAAGAGCCTCTCACAAGTCCTCCTATTCTTATTTTTTTTATTAGCGTATTTCACACGGACGTAAGTTTTCACGTTACATTGCATGTGTGAACATAAACAAACAGCCACTAATACACGCGGGGTGTGACACAGACACACACACAAACCCCAAAGGGACTTCTGAAACTGAAACACACACTCTGGCTAATTGCTGCATGTATGGGGTGTGCGCCAGGCTGCTGCTCACATGACCCACACCGCGTAGACTGAGTAGAGGTGGCACAACTGTGGTAGCGTTGAAAACAGTGATCGTCTTTTACGGCGTACAAACCGAGCAAGAGTAATGAACGGCTGGGGCCTACTGTGGCCCGCAGAGCCAGGCAACGGGAAGGGCAAAATAGCAGTGGGCTCACAAGAACGTAGCAGGTAGCAGTAGGGTCACGGGTGAAATATGAACCATTGCCACCAGGGGCATAGCTGAAAAGGGCCACGACAGATTGATTTTGGTGACCCAGCAGGCCGAGTTCTGACCCCCATATTGGTTGTACTCCAGTGCAACGCCATTGACATCACTGGAGTCGTCCCTCATTTACATGGGTGGAAAGTGGTTCAGAACCAGGCCAAAGTTGCATCCTCTGCCTTCAGATGTCTATGTGTAGCCCCTCGTGCACGTCAAACGCAGGAACAGTGGAACGACAGGGCCCAGTGTCACTATTTTACACACAGATGCTCCTGGGCGGCTCATGCAGGAGATAACAATGAAGTTAATTTGTGCACCACTGTGTGTGGAACCTGGTCCTCTGCGAAGTCCAGTTATGGACAATAAGACAGTGCAAATGTCTTACCCGTGCTCCAGAGTGCTGAGTGAGGCAGAGAACAGTGGGGAAGAGGGAAAGGTCAGGGGAAAACAGTTGAGTGTTGGGACGAGCAGCGTGAGAATGCAACACCGATTGTTCTGGACTGGGCTAGTATGAGGCGAATCAAAGGTACTGAGCCAACTAAGCACATTTCTGCTGAGATCTACCCAGTGTTAGTGGCACCAGAATCAAAACTCAACCTCAGCCGCGTCTTATAGTCCCAGCTGCTGTCACACCCCTTTGAGATCATGCCTTTCAAGCACTGGTTGCTGGGAACCAACCATACAACACGACTTTAAATTTCATTCACAGCATCAGCCACATCCTCCCTTTAGTGGGCCACGCCCAACTCCTGTTTGATGCCAGGACACCCGAGGTTGGGCTACTGTCCTTTCAGAGCTGCGTGCCTGGGCTTGTCGATGCTGTGCCTGGTGGCGGATCTGACTGACAGGTGGCAGATTTGGTTTGCTAACCAAGGGCATGATACAAAGCCCATTGAAGTTGATGGAAAGGCTCCCACACAAATGATCTGTTCGATTGAACCGTGGAAGCTACAGGCAGAAAAGATCAGTTACCCCGCTAACTGTTCCGGTCACTGATGCAGGAGACACCCTCTTTGACTCAGAGTTCAGGGCAGAATTTTGGGCCAAGCCACCATGTTGAGCAGTGGCCTGGCCCTTGGTGCTATGTATGTGCTAGAACCCAGTACAGTGACCCTGGGTGGTTTAGCTGTGGTCATATACACAACAGCTTAAGGCCTCCTAAAAACACACGGTGACTGTCTTACTCTCAGTTGAAACGCAATGGTGCTAGGAGACACAGTCGAGAGCGAATGCTGGGATCATCTGTCAGGCTGAGGTGGGCATAGCCTGTGATCTCAGGGGCTAGGCACTGAACACAGGGGTTGGCATCCTCCCAAGTGTCTCTGCTTTTCAGTAGCGTTCTCCTGCTAGCCCCCACTGAATTAACTTTGCATCAGGAACTAGGCCTATGTTTATAGCCAGGTCCAATTATTCAATCTTCCTTTGCCACAATGGGACAGAGCTAAATTTAAAAATCAGAGATGGGGCCGAGCCACAAAGGTCAGTTCCGAGGGGGCTGGCCGGGGCCAAAGTTTTAGGTTAGCCTAGTGCAGAAATTGGAGACGGTCCCAGAATTTGGAAGCTTCCCACCCCCATCAGAGCATCCCACCTGAAGCAAACCGGAAAACGCAGAGGGTACATAACAGGCAGCAGCATGACACAGAACACAGACGTGTTACAGCCGAGCAGACAGCAGCGGAGGTGCAGAGGATGATGGGAGGTTTGGCTACAGTCATGGTTTATTTTTCTTACACACTGGCTCTGCTTTCCCTCTGGCTGTCCTGCTATTGTTACAAAGTAGCTGTGGAACAAATACATTTGAGCTATGCTTAATGATGCCCAGGGGGCAAAGCCTGCTGCACCAGGCTGGACTTTCAGAGAAAGGCGACTGTGGCACACATTCAAACTGCAGCGTTTCACACAGCACAGAATGGCCTGGCCAACATTTTCCACCTCTCAGGGCCTAAAGCCACATTCAGGCTTCCAGCTAAGAGCCTCATCCTGCCAGGTGCATTCTCGGGTGGAGGGGGTGGGGTCAGCTGTCTTTAGCAGCCTCGTTTCCATGCTGCTGAACAGGGATTTGATGCTGAACTGTAGGCCACCCCTAATTAGAACAGTTTGACCTATGAACCCGCAGTCTCATCCTTTTGACAATGGAGTATTGAGTGTGTGAGCGGTTCTATTGGGTGAAGCCTTTGGAGCTGTGTGGGGCCCTCCCCAGAGTCAGCCTCCCAGAAGCCGTCATTCTCTTTAAAAAATAAATAAATACAAGGATAAGAAATGAAACCTTTAAATATGTCCATCGTTGTGTGCCCGTCTCCCGTCATCACTTTGTCATGGTACAGGCTGTTCAATTAGGATTAAGAAGAAACAAACCAACCACTATTTTAAATGCACTTTTTCCCTCGGTCTTTTTTTTTTTTTTTTAGAACAAATGGATTTCTTTTTGTTCTGTTGTAATGTCAAGATACCCCCCAGGAGAGTGGATGGGATTTTTCTCTACAATGGAGCAGGGTTAGGTTACTGATCAGCAAATCTCAGATGCCCAGAACTTCTCCAAAGCCCTTAATGGCACCCTGACCACCTTCCCCTTTTTAAAAACGACACTCACAACTTTTTCCTACAATCCTCTGCAAACTTCAGTCATTTGGTTTGATAGTAAACATTCCGCTGGCGTTTCTGTTGATCAGTCACTGTCTGTCACTTAGAAAGCTTAGAAGTTTAAAACAGGGCTTACTAGGGAGGAGGGGGGAATTGGAGGTCAGCATCACAGATAGTCATCCTCGCTGGAAGGGGAAATGGGACTCGAGCCCTCAAGATCAGAGTCGGATGAGCTTTCTGAAGGGGTCCGGATCATCTTCCACATCTGGGCAGAAAAGGTTCTGCCCCAGCTGCAGGGGTATCCCACAGGCCTCAGCTGGTGAATTAGCTCCAGGGCCACCTGCCAGTGGCTTCTTTCAGTTCACTTGCTGCTGCCCTTTGCGCTCCTCTGTTTGCTCATGGCTGTTAACATCTGACTGATGTACGAGGTCAAGAGGTCATCCATCTTGTAGCCCTGGGAGGAAGTTATGAGAGATCAGACACATCACCCAGACAGCCTAACTGCTGGTCGCTGGATCATGTCCTTGAATGCCTTTGGTATGAACTATCACCAGGCTTATCAATGACCCTCCTCCCCACCACGACAGCCTTGAACCTCGCCTGGTAGAGGCCTAGAACCAGGGGACAGTCGTCAGTCAATGAAAAGATATCAAGTTCGAAACCAATACAAGGAAATACTTTTTCACACACGCTTAATTGGACTGCGGAAAACTCTGCCACGGGAAGTTGTTGTGGCCAAGAACTCAGCCAGGTTCAAAAAGGGTTTTGATAATTATACAGTTATCAAGAATCGCTGGAGTAATTATAATTAATGGCAATAAATGTTGGAAGGGATATTAAACCTCATGCTTCAGTGCTTTAGCTAATCTCTACCTATTAGAGATCAGGGTCAGACATCATGTGCAAGCAGATTACCCCACATCAGTCTACAGTGGGGTTCTTCCATCTTCCTGTGTAGCAGCTGGTGCTGGCTATGGTTGGGGACAAGATACTGAACTAGACAGAGCTTGGGTCTGATTCAGTCTGGCAAGTCCTCTGCTCCGATGGGGGCGGAGAGCTAAAAACAGGACTGTGATGCTCTCGTGTCACCCAGAGCGAGCCATTACAGGGTATCACTGACTCTGGTTCACTATGGGATGGTGGGCAGAGAAGCTTAGTACTGGATTTAAGACTTGAACTAGGCCCCCAGCATATCTGCTCTGAGCTGCATGCTAGTCAGTTCCAGAGTGCCCAGCACCAGACTGCTACAGTGGTGATTCTGCCTGTTTGGCTTGCTATAAAGCACCTCAAGCTTTTAATACACCTGGTGACTAGCCTGGCTGAACATTCAGAGCCCTCACCCACTGACAAGGGACGCCAGTCAGGGTAACAGGCTAAGCCATTAGTACTGGCCTGGGCAAAGCTGGAATGGAGTCTATGCACCGATCCTCTGCTGGTGTAAATCGGTGCAGCTCCACTGACACCAGCGGAGGGTTTGGCCCTTGTGAGTACGTAGCACAGCTTATGGCCTCTGTTCCTGCCCTCACGTCCAGGAAGCTGATAAATGAATTTATCCTGCACACTTGGCCACCTCATTTGCCTTCTGTCCATCAATCCATCTCCACAGTCCAACATCCCAGGCCTCTGAGCAGCTTCATAGAATCATAGAATACATAGACTATCAGGGTTGGAAGGGACCTCAGGAGGTCATCTAGTCCAACCCCCTGCTCAAAGCAGGACCAATTCCCAACTAAATCATCCCAGCCAGGGCTTTGTCAAGCCGGGCCTTAAAAACCTACCAAGGAAGGAGACTCCACCACCTCCCTAGGTAACGCATTCCAGTGCTTCA